GGTGGGAGAAACCATGTCGGTCATTTTCTTTGTTGGACTAAAGTTGAACAGGTAATCTTGGGGCCAAAGTACGCTTTTCTTGCCTTTTTCCAGTAATTTATTAGCTACGAGCTGTGACTACCAGAGAAGCGTCTAAATAAAACTTTGTCATAAAGAACAAACAAATCATCCCAAGCAGTTAAAATTTGGACTTGAAATAACTTCATTGTAACTGTTAGAGCAGTTTGCTGTAACCTGGGCAAATAAAAGAGTTTCACCCAGCACTGAAGAGAGAATAGGGACAGTACCAGGGCAAATGTATAAAGGGAGTTGGAAGGATGAGGTGCCACAGTGGAAAGGGGTCACTCCCTCTTCATCACTACTTAACTTGAATGTAGGCAGATGGCAGTGGTATATACAGTGGGGATTTGTGGCTAATTTTGATGGCTGGGCAAGTCCATAGGAAATAGATGGTCTCTTGGGCAACTATGTTTTACCTGTAATTTTGTCATAGACATTCCATGTTTAAGGTACTATGTAATTTGGCCCTTCAAACCTTATGGGGAAGACATGATTCCTGGCGTAAAACAGCACTCTTCTCTGTATATAATGTGGTTTTGTGAAAGTATGTATTAGGATTTTTAGTGGGGGTGGGCAGGAATGGAAAATTGATGACATGATAAGACCTCTGGACTATTTTTACCTATGCTGGTCTATTTTGGAAAAGAATGCAGTATGGAAGGTTCTGGTAGGCCTGCTGATCATGCTTTTCAGCCAGGATGAGTCTTGAGCTTCAGTATATGAAGTTTCGGTATTACTTTCCAGCTTGTGAAAATATATTTGTTTTAGACCCATCTGGTATATCTCTTCCAAGTTCTTAAATACTTTTACTTATAGTCTGGGACAAATCCAACATTATGTTAGCAGATACCCACTAGCACAACGAAATTTTCTTTCCTTCCCATTAAAGCACTCAGTGCTTGTGGAGGGGGGGGGGGATTTCCCCCTCCCATTCTTGCTGGTAGAGCTGCTAGTGCCATTGGAATGACAGCATCTCATTGAATCTACTGAAACCTCAGTATCTATAAACTCTCTTGCTACAATTTTAGCCCATTCAAATCATGGCTGCTGTTCTTTTGTCTGATACAGCACCAGAATTGTGACCCTTCCACAGAGGGTGAGACAGGCTTCGTATTAGGATAGATTGCAGCCCTTTTGAATTGGAACTGTGTGTGTGTGTGTGTGTGTGTGTGTGTGTGTGTGTGTGTGTGTGTGTTTGCTTCATTGTGTAGTGTTATAGTAGTTGAACCTAATACTTGATTCATATTTTTATATTCAAAAGTCGCTTTGCTGGAAACTGTCACAATAATTGGAAAACCGTCTTTTGTGACTGTAATCAGAGACGAAACAGGTTGGTTTACATCCAAAATACAGGCTTCTTGGGCAGCACAGATTCAGTAAGAACAAAGTCATCATTCAGAACTGTGTAAAGCAATCTCATTTTCTCATCAGCTGTGGAAAGTGTGAAATATCTTGGCACAGTGAAGAAGCCATCAGTCACAACCTGCTTTTACCCAAACCATTGCTTGTTGAGATACATTCTCACAGTTCTCCATGGGAAGATTTCCAGTCTTATATCGCATAATGATGAATAGGACGCAGTGGGCCATATATGGGTGTTTTGAGATGATCTTAATTCCTGCTTATTTTATTAGGAGTGGGTTTTTTTTGTTACCTTAGGGCTCAGTGTACTGGAGAAATTCAGGATAATTTGTATTTTGAAAAGCAGTATTATTTATTTATTTATTTGAAATGAATTGATCTTTTTGTATATGTGTGATGCAAATAATGGTTCACCTGTTCCACAAACGGAGCAAAATGGTGCAGTGTTAAAACCTACAACAGAACAGTAGATTAGTACATGCTAAGTAAGAGGGAGAGTATCCAACATAATCACTCTAGTACTATGTTCCCAAGACCTGATTTTTCTGTGGCAGTCGTACGTAAAATCTTCAGCCAGGCAGAAAGCTGTACAATGTCGCGGAGTGTAACTTTAGTAAAAAGTGGGAGTTTGGAGAACCCAACCAGATTTAATGTACAGGCTGATGCAGTCTGTGTTGGGCAGTGTGTTCTACCTTATTGGTTTTCAGTCAGTATTAAATACTTTGTGGTACAGTACACTGCCAGCTGGAGCAATTGGAAGGAAAAATGCTAAATATGTATGCATGTAGCCTGAAGACTATTGTCCATCTACCAACAGTATAGTCATGAACTCGCAGGATCCTGGAGAGGTGGGGGAATGAATGATACTGCATTCAAACTTACCTGCTTGCTTGCTTATTTATTTATTTAAAACATTTCTATGCCGCCCCCATCGCAACAAAGCCTCGGGGCGGCTCACAACAAAAACAAAACAAACAAAATCATACAAAGCAGTAAGCTACATGAGTTTTCTTGGTTTGACAGTATAGAAGGCCTTACTCAGACACTATTCCATAAAGACTTTCTTGATTGCAAAATTGCACAAAGGCAGGTCGAAAACAAAAATGGCAATTATTAATTTTCAGTTGAGGCATATTCTTATTTTTGTGTAATTTTTTCACAGATTGCATATATACTATATGAAAACTAGGGATATCAGAGAAAGCTAATTGGAATGACATTGAATTACCATGAATTTGTGCTGCAGATTCCACAGTACACAGGAATCTTTCAAGATTCCGTGCATTTTCAGACTGTTCTTTATTTTCTGCAACTTCATGCAAATTCAGTTGCATAATGTTATTGGAAAATATACTAATATTTGGCTTAAAAAACAAACACAGTGTTTTCTAGAACTCTGGTCTTTCTTCAGCCTATACTGTGTAGCACTAAGAAGAATATGCAAAAATACTGCATCCCAGTGAAAATTATTCAAAGTGTAGTGTACCCTTTTCAAAGGGAAAAAGTGAGATTCCTTAAATGAGCAGATGATGGAATGAAACAGGCTTGAAAATCTGTGAAACGCATGTAGAATGCATTAAACAAAATCCATTCATCCCTAAAAAATCACACACTTTATTTTAAAAAATGCTTATGAATTTGTTACATAGATGATTTCTCCACATGCATATATTTATAGTTTGCATTTTGGTTGCATGTAGACAATGCTGTTTCTAAGGGAAGCCATAATGATAAACTTCAATCATTTTTGCTCTTTTTCAACAACCCCCTTTAAAAACTTGATTCAGAAATATGATAATTAGTGCCATCTAGTGGTCTTGGTGTTCCCCTCTGCATGATCCTGCACAGTTCATAAAGGTTGGAGCAACTCCAATTTCCACACTTTACAGGGGACCATGTGGTAGTTCCATACCAGGACTGTGGAAAGAGCAGCAAAACTGCAGGAATGACTTATGGATATAACTTCCTTTAATAATTAGCATTCATGCATATTAGCGTTCAGATACTTAATCTTTCTTTCAGTTGAACGCTACTGAAGGAGCCCATCAATGTTTTCTTATCTTGATTACAGTGATAGTTCATTTATGAATGCCTTCCATATGTTTTGCCAATAAGAGAAACAAGGTCAATGTATTTGATTTTGTTTGGTTTTGGCTTATAAATGATTATATTTAAGGAATTGTTGAATCGCTATTAGTGCTGTAATTATTTTGGCTTCAAGCCATGGGAGTGCAATGTGCCATAGTTAAAAACAAGAACAACATAGGTAATCATTTCAAAATGGAGTCTTATTTATTACAAACTTGGTAATAATTTGCATTGTACTGTGCAAAGAGCCTATGTACTCAATGTTTCTGAGTATTGTGTAAGATATAATTGATATAAATTATGTTGCAGTGTGCTGATTTTGTAATTTAAATACAAGTTTTACATCTTTCTAGGCTTGTCGATATGGACATGTCCAGCATTTAGAACATTTCCTGTTTTATGGAGCAGATATGGGAGCACAAAATGCCTCTGGAAACACAGCTTTGCATATCTGTGCGCTTTATAACCAGGTTAGTTACTATTTCATATTTAATGTGATATTATTCTGTGGTGCCTAAACATAAATATGTGCTTTTTATGCCACAAGACCCAGCGTGGTATAGTGGTTAGAGTGCTGGGTGGGGGACTTAGGAGATGTGGGTTCTCATCCCCACTTAGGGGGATCACTCTTCAATCACTCCTCACAACCTCACAGGGATGTTGTAAGGATAAAAGGGAGCAGAGGAGGAATAAGGGAGCCACTTTGGGTTCCTTCCAAGAGTAAAAAAATCAGGGTATAAACACAATGTAACTTAAATTCTTGAAACTAACATTTCAGAAGTGCTACAGGATTTTTGTATGCTGCCACTACACTATGTTTTAATAGATGTCTAGAAGTGAAGAAGAAATGAAGGAATTCCACAAATTTAAAGAAGGCTTTTTTTTTTTTTTTTGGTTCTCTTCCTTCCCTAGTGTCAATAACTTGTCCCTGGGGTCCAAAAAACCTGCTTCCAAGGGAAGGTGTGTGGAAATTTGCTGTTACTGTGGAGCTGGTAAAGAGTTAACCATGCAATCTGACCATGCTGCAGTTCTGATTAGATTGGGGCGGCTGCTAATTTAAACTCACATAAATGTACACATAAATGTAGTTTGACCTGTAGAATTCTAAAATCAAATGAACCTTGATGAGTAGGTGTTTTTCCCTTTCTAAGGGCTTCCTTGAAATAGCTGGCTGCATAAAAACTGTTGCTTCCATAGACATAATCTTTGTATACATTGTATACAGAGTAAGTGCATACATTTCTATTCAGAAGTAAGTCCTATTGTCTTCAACACCAGTGTTTACAATGATCCTTATATAAAAATAAGAACTAATGTTTTTCCAAGTTAGACATATGAAAATCTGTATGTATGGAAATTTTACAGATTTTGAACATTTAAAGCAGTGCACAAAACGTCAGTGTATGAGGTGTTTGGATGCAAGAGTTGGTTCAAGTTGGTTCAACTGTTGGACACCCTTTGAGGGTTAGAGGAGCCAGCTGTGTACATCTCAGGTCCAGAACATACCTCTTTGAAAGAAGGGCCTCTTGATACAGTGCTTGGATCATCCTGGATCTATGTCAAGGCAAGCTCAAGCAGCAGAGATTGCTGGATTAAACAGTTATCAAGTCTATGGCTAGGTGAAAATCAGAGTAGCGTTCTGTGGGTAAAGGGCTGACACAGTGTGCTTGCCAAGGCAAATCGGGCAGGACAATTGTAGGAGCAGGCAGAAACAGAATAAGGGAAGCAAGGGATGAAAGGAAATGCTGAAAAACCAAGGACATTGTCCTTTGGTTTGCACACTTCTCTGAAGCCTCCAAATTCAGAGGATTTCATGTAGCCAGTGTCCAGTGAGAGCTGCTAGCAAGACAGAGGAATAACAAAATGGAGTTTTGGCTCTTTCGTACTCCTGCTGTTTTGTTAATACACTGGACCTCTCTTATTTACTTGCTGGGTATTAAATCTAGGCAGAGGTATCATGATTCAGGAACAACAAAGGTTAGAATCCACAAACAACCCTAGTCACATTTACAGAAATAAACAGAAAAATAGCTTCCAGCATACATTTTCCAGCAGCTTCTCTAAGTTTCTGATGGTATCCTGCAGTGACAGATGCCCCATGCAAGTCCCAGCTGCATTCACTCAGATCATATAGAGTGTTCTTCATGAGAAGAGTTCCTTTCCTCCCAAGTAGAACTCTGCTGCAACTTGGCAATTCATCACGATTCTACCTCTTCTCCTGCTGATACCTCCTGAGACTTGGGCCTACTTAGCTGCCTCTTGGGCAGCCTGCCTCTTTTCTCAAGAGGCTTCAAACTCAGCCCTTGTACAGGGCCAATCCTGTGGAATGTGCTCTGTTTGGACCTCTAACTCTAACTTCTTAAAGAAGTCTTCCAATAGAAGGCATAACAAGATGGGCCTTCGAGCACGTCTAGAAGAAGCATGCTGGTACAGGTGGAATGGAGGCTGATGAGACCACAGGAAACAGTATATCCTGGCTTCTCCTCTTTGCCACCAAGCCACCTCCTCCCTGGCTGATTTCATGGCTTTAGAAATTAGGAGTGATTCTTTCTATGGCAGCTGCAAGGGGTTGGGGATATATTGGAATTCAGAGCCTGCCTTCCAACATCTTAGTAGTATCTACCATTTCAGAGAAAGAATTCTAAATCTAAGTCACAGGAAATCATGTCTTCCCATGACTTCATAAGGATTATTTAGAATGAAGAATATACATAGTATGTTGTGGTGATTGTATAGGAGGAACCAAAATTAATGGTTCTCTTTAGTGACTGACTTGCAAGCTTAGAAGGAAACCAGTAGAAACCAAGTTAGCAATTTGCTTGTAATAAGCATATTTTGTATACCTGGAGAGAGATTTTTTAAAATAAATATCAGTACACATACATTCTCTTTAGCGGGTCTGTTAATACCAATAGCTTTGATATTCATAAACCTATGACAAACAAGGATTTTTAAAGGTTATTTTAGGATTTGTCTTACAACATTTCAGTGCTGTACTACATTAGAAATACACAAGTAATGAGGCCTGTTATAACTAGTGCAACATCCGTTAAAGCATCTGCTTCTTAATTAATTGCTACTTCAGGCCTAAGTATCCTGTCAAACCAGATATTTTTCATTTTCTTGATATTTCTAAAATATCTGTTATTTTAGAAATGATGGGTATTTGGGATAAACTGCACCAGTATGCTTAAAAAATGCCAGGGTCTATGTGTTAAAACCAAGATGATTAAAAAATCTAATTGAAAAATAGCAGATGTAGTACATACCATTGGTTGAGATATTGCATGAATATAAATAGAATAAAATAACAAAAAATATAATGCACTTATACACGCTTCTGAAAAAGGGACACTGAAATGTGCACTTTTCCTATTAGAATTAACCAAAAAGCATGTTGTCGACAAAAAGGGGAACAAGCTGAACTGTGCTTTGCTGTGAAGTTTGGAGAATTTTGGCTAGGTCAGATGGTTCTCTTATATTTTGGTAATCCCACTTCTGCTTTCAACAGAATACTAATGAAATGTAAAAAATCTGAAGTTCAAACCAGAAGCCATAATAATTTTTTTAAAACCTTCTCTATTATGTATTTGAATGTCTGAAGCCCTTTTCAGGGAAAAATCTCAGCCTAGCAAATATCTTGTATAGTATCTCTCTCATTTATGGGAGAAAATAAAGTCTGTGCCATTTCTATTCTATTGACGCTGAAAAGAAAAGAAAAAAATCGCCAGCAATGGATCAGGTTGTTATGGAGATACCACCTTAAAATAAATAGGCATCCTGGATCAGATGGTATATTTTTCTTCAGCAGTGTTCAGATATTAGTTCAACCAACAGCACCTCACACTCTTGATTAAAGAGTGTGAGGTGCTGAGACATTTATGCAAGCTGTGCTCCCATTTATACCTGTGGGCTTCTATACATTTAGCGCAAAGGACTGAAATTGATTTCTAATGGTCAAAAGCAGAGTTTTTCATTTTTACTCTAGGTTAGGCACATTCTGAAAAATGCTATCTTATGTTAGCATTGGCCCCTTATGCCTACTCTAAACTAAAAATGAATGAATGACTTATCTGCTAGATATGGATGTAAAGTAATATTTGTTTTGACTATCTTGCCTCAACTATCCTGCTCAGAGCAGTTGGGTGTCCTGGCACCCTGCAAAGTTTTAGTACATTTATGTTCAGGAAAATGCCTGAACAACATTTCTCAATCAAGAAAGTTTAATGTCTTGTAGGGCTGAGACTTTTCTTTGGTATGTAATACCTGATGAGACTCACTGGACCCTCATTCTTTTCTCTTTAAAGTAGAGACATTAACAAAATACTTATCAATACATACAGAAATGAAGAGAATCTTTGAGTGTTCCTGAGTTCCTTACAATAATATAGTGTTAGGATTTTTTGTTGTTTTGTTATTTTTGAAAGAATAAATGTTGCTCCTTTTGAGAACCAGTCTATGCAGACCCGATTGTGTGGGTCCGCCCCCGGAGCCGGATGGATCCGGAAGGATTCCTGAAGGCTCTGGGGGAGTTTCCGGCTGACAAGACGGGTGCTCCTGTCGAGGCTCTGGTGGAACTGTGGAATGGGGAGATGACCAGGGCTGTAGACACGATCGCTCCTAAGCGTCCTCTCCCACCGGGCAGAGCCCTCTCTTCCCCTTGGTACACTCCAGAATTGAGGGCAATGAAGCAGGTTGGGAGACGGCTAGAGCGTAGGCGGAGGAAATCACGGGATGAATCTGACCGAACACACTTAAGAGCCCACTATCGGGCCTATGCTGTGGCGGTGAGGGCGGCGAAAAAGAGACACTTCTCCGCTTCCATTGCCTCCTCACAATGCCGTCCGGCGGAGCTCTTTCGAGTGGTGCAAGGCCTGGTTCACCCAGGGCCGAAGGAAGAGCTGATTCCACCCTCAAAGGCCTGCTGTGACGACTTTGCCGAGCATTTTAGGGAGAAAATCACTCAGATTCGTCACGAGCTAGATTCCACTATTGATTCAGAGGTTTTAAGGGAGACACCAACGCTGCCATCTGGTCCAGAATTATTGGATGAATTTCAGTTATTGCGGCCCGCTGATGTGGACAAGGTGCTTGGACGAGTACGTCCTACCACTTGCCTTTTGGACCCTTGCCCGTCTTGGTTAATAAAGGATTCCAAGCACGGGATTGGAACCTGGATCTTGGAAGTGGTTAACGCTTCTCTGAGGGAGGGTCGGGTGCCTGCCCCTTTAAAGGAGGCGGTAGTCCGACCGGTCCTGAAGAAGGCATCACTGGATCCAGGGATGGCCGCTAACTATAGACCAGTGGCCAACATCCCGTTTCTGGGCAAGGTGTTAGAGCGAGTGGTGGCGGGACAACTCCAAGCACTCTTGGATGAAACTGATTATCTGGACCCATTTCAGTCCGGCTTCAGACCCGGGTACGGTACTGAATCTGCCTTGGTCGCCCTGTACGATGACCTGTGCAGGGAGAAGGACAGGGGGAGTGCGTCCCTGTTGGTTCTCCTGGACCTCTCAGCGGCTTTCGATACCATCGACCATGGTATCCTTCTGGATAGGCTGGCGGGATTGGGGGTCGGAGGCACCGCTTTGCGGTGGTTCCGCTCCTATCTCAACGACCGATTCCAGAAGGTGGTGTTGGGGGACTATGGCTCTGCGCCATGGCAGCTTTGCCATGGGGTACCGCAGGGTTCCATTTTGTCCCCTTTACTGTTCAATATCTACATGAAACCGCTGGGAGAGGTCATCAGGAGGTGTGGGCTGCGGACCCATCAGTATGCTGATGATACCCAGCTCTACCTCTCGTTTTCCACCAATCCAGGTGAGGCAGTGGCTGTGCTGAACCGGTGCCTGGCCGAGGTAATGGGCTGGATGAGGGCCAATAAACTGAAGCTCAATCCAGACAAGACGGAGGTCCTGTTGGTTGACGGTTCAGGCTTCGGAGAAGGTGACCTGAACCTTGTCCTGAACGGGGTTGCACTCCCTCCTAGGGACAAGGTCCGCAGCTAGGGAGTGCTCCTCGACCCGGAGCTTTCACTTGAAGCTCAGGTGACAACAGCGGCGAGGAGCGCTTTCCTCCAGCTTCGGCTGATTCATCAGCTGCGCCCCTACCTGGAGTACGACTGCCTTGCAACAGTGACTCATGCGCTGGTGACTTCCCGTCTTGACTTCTGTAACGCGCTCTACGTGGGGCTACCCTTGAAGACGGTCCGGATACTTCAATTGGTTCAGAATAGAGCTGCCAGGCTGCTGACGGGGACTGGACGTTATGTTCACATGACTCCAGTTCTCCGTCAGCTTCACTGGCTCCCCATTGAAGTCCGGGCCCAATTCAAGGTGTTGGTAATGACCTATAAAGCCCTAAACAGCTTGGGTCCTGGTTACCTGAAGGAGCGCTTACATCCATATTTGCCCAGTCGCCCCCTGAGATTGGCGGGAGAGGCCCTTCTCCGGGAGCCCTCCGTGAGAGAAATTAGGAGGGTGGCTACTCGGAGAAGGGCTTTCTCAGCGGTGGCGCCTAAGTTATGGAATGCGCTCCCCAGAGAGGTCCGCCTGGCGCCGTCGTTATTTGTTTTTCGGCGCCAGGCTAAGACCTTTTTATTTAAGCAACATTTTAAATGCTAAATACAATTGAATTTTATCTGGCCAGGGCGGCTTATTTTATAATGTGTGTTTTAATTAAGATTATTTTATATGGATATTTTAACTTATTGTTTTATCTATGTTGTAAGCCGCCCCGAGGCTTCGGCGAATGGGGCGGCATAAAAATGTTTTAATAAATAAATAAATAAATATGTTGAAATCTTTTTTGGACCAAGCAGCTGTTTATATGGATAATCCAGAAAGTTCCCTAAATACATTTTTAATGATGTCTCACTTAACAGGAAAACCATTTCTCCTTGATATTAATAGATCTACATTACAGGGTAGCAAGTTGCATAATAAGTTCTAGGGCCCTCTGGTATTTTTTGAATATTTATCAGCTGGTTCTTCAGTAATGGCAGACAAACTGTTTTGAAGTGGAACTTATCAAGCAATAGAAATCCTCCTCTGTAATGTGCATCCATAAGTCAGTGTTTGCTTTGCTTTACAATAGGTCATGTGTACACGAAATGGTTTGGCTGAAGTGGATTACCCTAAAATCTCATGATGTACATATATACTCTAGAATATACACAGAATCCTCTGCAACGTGCAGGAATTCTATAGTGGTGTGAAAGGGAGCACTGAACATGGGAAGTTTTGAAAACTAGTAAAAAGGTTGTTTTGTTGAGAAAACTAAAAATGCGCAGTGGGTATAAATTACCCATTTTGGTAGGACATCTTTCATTACTGGAGTAGTAGAGGCAAATAATAGCTTGGCAAATATAAACACTGATTGCCATTTGAAAAACTACAGCACCTGCTTGAACGTAAGCTATTGCTGCTTCCTAGATAATCATTTCATACAATATTTAACTCTTATTTGATGGAATAAGCCTGATACTTCTTGTTAGTTTTCTTCTAGTTTCCCCTCAGTGTGTCAGTCACATGACATTTCACATGTAATGGTGAGAATTCCTCCTTTTTCCAGGATGTGGCACTTGATTATGGAAAATATATTTATACAAAGAGATTAAAAAAGCATTTCTAACCTTTCTGACTAGTTCTACATTGTTGGTACTATGCTTTTCTGGTCCTAAAGAGATGCTAGGGGTAGGATCCTGATACTAATATGATTGGCAGTAGTTTCTCAGGAAAAGGGCAAGATCTAACATTTTGCTAATCTCTCACGCTTCATCTTAGAAAAGTTGCTAGAAAAAAAAGATTTAGCTGCTAGGCCAGTGATTTAATTAGCATCTAGATAACTGAATTAATTTAAGATGTTTTAGTATAATCAGCCAATTTTAACAAGACTGCTGTGATCAGATGGCCAGGTTATTACATTAATTGGTACTAGGGGACTATCTAGCATTGCCTCAGTGCTAGGGGGACTCACCTTTAGCAAATAGAAGTGAACCCAAATGCTTATTTTCAGAATCAGTTGGATTAGTATAGCCTGCAGGAGAGAGCTTTGCTGACTTATTACATTACTGAAATAAGCAGTTCTTGTTTCAGTGATTGCTTTAGGAAGCACTTGTTTCCAATAGCCCTTATGTAATGAAAGAAACAGCAGAAGTACAGCAACAATATAGGATACTGTCCCTGAATTCCACAATATATTAGTAACGGTCAAAGGGTGATTCTTAAACATAGGTTCATTATAAGATTAAAAATCCAGACTTGCATAATTTACTTTTGTAGAATTATGGATTGACCATTATGGTTATATAAAGGGATAAAAAATTTAGAAATGGACAGACATTCGAAAAATAGCTTGAACAAATGATTTTCAGACCAAAGCACTTGCATTTAAATTGGTTGCAATTAACACTTTTGCAGTCATGGATAGTATGTAACTATTCTTTTGATAATGAGTTCACTATATCTATACTCACCAAGATAATCAAGTGTAAGGACATTTTACTGGAGACCAAGATTATCCAAACTGTTCTCAGTCATAATGTATAGGTGTGAAAGCTGGGCAGTGAAGAAAGCTGAGAGGAAGAAAATAGATGCAGTTGAAACATGGTGTTGGAGTACAGCTTTGCAAACATCCTGGACTGGTGTAGATCAAATCAAGCCAGAAACCTAGAAGCAAAAGTTTCATACTTTGGACACTTTTCCATCACTCAATGAAGAAGATATTTATGCTAGGGAAAGTTGAATGCAGAAGATAAAAGTGAAGACCAAATTTGATATGGATTCAATTCATAAAGGAAACTACATCTTGGAACTGAGTGGGGCTGTCATTCATAGTGTCACCATAGTCAGAGACTACTTGATGGCACATAACTTGTTTGTGTTATGATCCTACTTATAATTTACCCCAGGTGGAAGAAGTTCCTGTTGGCATCAGTGGAAGCTTCTCTGCTTGGCCTAATGTCAAATCAACCTCAAGGGAATAATTAACATCTGGACCACAATGGGGGTTTTGTTGCATTTGGAAATAGTGCAGCATCAAGTGTTTCATTTAGCATCATAATTCACTTAGTTCTACTCACTGAATATCACCAGTGTTAACATTATTACAGAGAATGGCTTTGTATAAACTGGTACCCTGCAGCAGGTGTGGCCAATGATGAACAATGCTGGGAATTGCAGTCCAAAACATCTGGGGAACACCTGGTTTTGCCAGGATAGCATACAGGAATGCAAGAGTATAACAGATTGTTTATTATATTTGCAGGACAGCTGTGCAAGAGTTTTATTGTTACGGGGAGCCAACAAGGAGTTAAAGAACTATAACAGCCAATCCCCATTTCAGGTAAAAATGAATTCAAAATGCAACAATCCTATGTATATATCAGCACTGATGACAAATTGATGATTGCATTGTGTCTGTATATGGGATGAATGTGGGGAACTGTTGTACCTTGAAGTATTTATGTATTCGTTACATTTGACTGTAGGTTATCAGCATATACACAGAAAGTTAAAGAGCTGCTTAATTGAACCAGATTGCTTCCTTGTTTACTGTGAGTGGTCACCTGAGAACTTGTAAATCCTTTCTCATTTGAATATGAGAAACTAGTTTGTAGAAACCATTTGCAAATCAGGATATTAAAATGAAGGTTTATTTGAATATTATGTCTGAAAATGATCTGTATGTTTGAGCATTTATCTTTATTTATACATAGACTTCAGTGTTAAGAAGTAGAAGAGAGGCATTTTAAAATTGTATGCTTATTATACAATTGTATGCTAATAGTTTTAAATTTGTATTACAGACCCATGATAAAGCAAAAACTAATAATGTCATATGTGAAAATGCCTTAAGGGAAGTAAGAAAGGAAATCAGAAAGAAATATGAAAGTAAAGATGTAATTGTTTGCAAATCACATAGTGCTTTGCCATTGTGTTAGAAAGGAAACAACCGGTTGGCATATGTAATTATGGAAAGGACAGCTATATGCAAAACAAGTTGTGCTCTGAATGAAAATGTACTGCAGGCATACCATCGGTTTTAATTCTAGGTGGATTGCTCTCTAACATACCAGATTTCAAGGTTCAGATATCACATAACCCAGAAATGGAGTGTTACCAGGTTATTTATTACAGCAGAAGCGGGCATGAGAATCCATATGCATGCTTGCTTGTTCCCACTGTGTTTTCAGAAAATGCGTTGTTAAGTGTGAGTCGTTATCAATGTGTAAACCAGTTCACAGAGTTGTTATATTTTTTTGTTTTTGTTTTCTGCATTAACATAGTAGAGAATAAAGAGATATGGGATGGCAGATTTGCAGTTTGGCCTTTAATATATATTCATTGGTTGACTTGCTATGCAATGTAGCTGAAAGGGAAAAAGAGAGGTTCTCATGTAGTATGTAGTAAATGGGGGAGATGAATTTATAGTGACAACTGCACAATGCAGCAAAGCAATTAGTGTTAAGTCAGAAGTAATATAAAAAGGGTAGTCACATTGTTTCCAGGCATTCTACCAATGTGTCTTCAAAGGTAAAATGACAAAAAGGCACACCAGCAAATATAGCTCTGGTCTGAGCTGGCAGTCTTGAACGTCCTTGTCCACGTGCAATCTACTAAATATTCTTTGTATAGAGAAAATTAACCAAACAGCCAGCAGCTCAATACCTGGAACGTGAAACATTTAATCACAGGCACTCTGCAGCAAGGCAATTTGTTAATTTTTCCCAGGGGGATTCATGAGGAGGAGATGGTAGTGAGAAAGGAAGCAAGCAAGAAGGATGATGGATTAGTATGCTTATCAGTCAGCTGAGAAGGTTTGCTGTAGGTGCTAAATAATGGATTGATGTTCAGCTTGATAAGCCCCCCTTTTTAGATTACATTTGTCATTGCTAAGAATTTTATTTTACTAATTGACTTGATGCAAATGATACAATTTCAAAATTACATAGGATCCTCTTGAATAATGGAATTTTGCATAGTAAAGTAATACTGTGGTAATCAGAACATTATAACACAAACTCTTTACAAAGTTGTCACATTCATTAGCTGCTATCAAGTACTGCATTGAATTTGTACTAAACCTCTAATTTAAAATATCGTTTTTAAAATAAAAGACAAAAGGAAGGCTGGATTTTATTTGTTGTTTCTGTGTCTCTGGCAAGATCACTTTTGTCTCACTAAAATTGGAAAATAGAGCTATCATAACAGAAGAAAATACCATACTAGATAAATGGGTTCCACTTACTTTGATGAGATGAGGTCATGAAAGAGGATTTCCTCTTCCACTAGCCATAAATGGGCGTTTCTGACCATTAGATGAGATGACAGAGAGTAAAGAAAGCTGATGATCATAGAAATGTCAAGGAGTTCCATTTCATGTATTTTGACAAAGAATATCTCTAGCATTATAGAAGTTAGTTTCTTTTCAACTTTATATAATACCTAATATATTTTTGCTTACTCAATTTAAAATATATTAAAACTATGGTTGTTGTCTAATCAACATAATTTCAGTTGATTAATGAACCACCTTGTAATTGATTAATCCATAAATTTATTAAATTTAAATTCTTTACCAAAATCTCAATATTAGGTGTCTTTTTCAAAAACTGAAAGATGTGTGGAATAGCTTAAACAATGGCCATTATTCATTTTTATAATTTTCTTTTAGATACCGTTTACAGTAACACACCAGAACCAAAATAGGCTAAGAATAAACAATTGTGCTGATCTTGGAATCAGTGCTAATTCCAAGATTTCAAGAGATCTTTGAAGAGATGCCGTCAGTGAGCCTTCCTGCTTACTATTGATGGCTATCTATTTGTTAGCCTGTCCTTATGGGTCCAACAGGCACCCCCATTCTAATGCCTCTAGAGATTGGTAGTGGTGCCCCTACTGTGGTTTGGGCCTTGTCAGATGCCCTGGGATGCCAACTGTTTTAATTTGTAACCCTGAGAATTAGATATGTCCCCACTGATGAGTCACTCATAGATGTTCAATCTGCCAATTAAAATGTTCATCCCTAATTAAATCCAGTCTAGTTGGACATATTGAGGTTCTGAGTTCCTCCTTTGTAAAACCTTTTTATGCAAATGTCAAGATAATGTTTCTGTAAAGTATGCAAAATTATCTTTAAAAATAGGAGTTTAAAGTTTCTTTGCACCGCACATTGTTTTACATGGGAAAAATGTGTAACCAGTTTCTCTCCTCTGTTCCTTTTATCCTTTTGTATTCCTTTTTATTATTCCTTTTATATATCCTTTTATACATATAGTGGATTTTAAAGGCTTGTTTCCTCATATTTCCAAATTATAAGATTTGATGTAATGCATACATATATAGGTATTGTGCAACATAGCTGGAGTGATTGGGTGTGTTACCTTACTCAGGATAAGCCATAATTTTTGGTTTTTGTGACTGTGAATTGGACCTGATTGCCTGAATTAGCCTGTTATATATACAGGGGAATGAAATTTAAAGTTTTGTTTAAGAAACTTTGTGGTTTCCTTAAAATCCAGTGGAATAAAACTAAATTCTGTGTATGTGTGTGTTTTTTTGCTTTAAGATATATTTCACAGACCTGGTTAAAAAATGGAATATTAAAGTAAAAATGTATCTTCTTGCTCAATGTCTGTTTTGTGTTTCATTTTGTATTGTAAGCAGACAATTTTTAGTTTCAACTGACCCTCTTTTGAAATGACTGTTCAGTCATGTAAGTAGTAATAGGGATTATATAATCACTTGCCTTGATAAATTTCTCTACAAACCTTCTGTAGTTCTAGATATACATACATTTCAGTATTTGCTCCTTTGTTCATTTCTCATTTATTCAAATCAAATAAAAATGATTTTAGAATGTGTTTTCTTGTGAATGGTTTGTTAGGTGACATTTAAATTAAGGAAAAGGCTTAGAAACAGCCATGCATTTCTCACGTTTACTTAATTAAGCATTAGGATTTATAACCATAGTGTTTTAAGGGAATAGATTAAAGTTGTTTTTTTTTAAATAGTGTAACCTAAAATGAAATGTTAACCTCTGCTCCCCTCCCCAAATATATCTGAGAAGATATATTAGTTCAGAGCTAAAAGGTAGTCTGCCATTCTAGGATGCTTCCAGATAAGGTTTTTAATCTCACCATTGTTTTCCTTATTCATGAAATTTGATGGAAGATTAAGATACCATCTTCTACTTGTAACCTTCCCATGTCTTACATCTCTTTTTTCTTACAGCAGAAAAGATGGAAAAACTGCTTAGTACTGTTAAATAGTTAGGAAACCTCCAGGTGGAAGAACCTTTATTTGCCTATTCATTTAACATTTGAAATGCAAGTCTTCAGATTTCTCCTAGACTGAAAAGCTTTATAAAGTAGATCTATTCTATAGGAGTAAAAAAAATGGTCATGTTGTATTATGCTATTTCTTTATACAAGAATTAGGGACAGTCAGGTTGTACCCTGATTTGTGTAGATATGTTTCATTGTTGCGTTATATAAAATAGTATAATAGAATTCTGGAAGATATGGCGGAGACTGCAAACCTTGGAAGCTTTTATGTTGACTTTTCAGGCATACAGATAATAATTGGGGCAATCTGACACAGGAAACTCTAAATCAGGAAGTTTTTCTTGTAAGGGCTCTCATAGCAAAAGCCTAATGGTTACATATTTTAAGGCAAATGATAACACATAGCAGATGATTAATTGTCAATATCATTCTCACAAGATGTTGTCGATAGTAACTATGCCTTATAAGAAACTCATAACAACATGGGTTCCCAGTTGTAATCTCTGCAGTTTAATGTATGCAAGACTCTCGGCAATCAACAACCAGTATTCAACTAATCTGCAAACCCAGAGAGATGTCAGGAACATCAAGGCTTATCAAACCTAAGAGATGAGAACATGCTCAATAACAAGTCCACAGAAGTCCCCACATGTGAAGAACTTAATGCCTAAAGCTTTGTGATCTCTGCTTTATGGGTCCAGGCACAAGAAAGTTCAAAATTCAGAACTGACACAAGCCCAGCTGGGGTACACTTAATGAAAGTGCATAGTCTATCAAAACTATCACAGTTTTTGTTCTCTAGGAAATTAACATCCTGTTTCTGCAGAAGGATCTCATTGGCCCAAGATGTAGGCTGAGAAGGCAAGATGTTCTTCTGGCTTTTCAACAGGCAATGGGTGTAACAGTCCTTCTGACAAACCACTGACTGACAGGAGTTTTAGTCCATCATGTGGCTTTCCAACCCTAGAGTTTCCCTTCCAGCCTTCATGGGTGAGACTTCAATTTGAATTGCAGCTCTCTGGCCCTCCCTTCCACCAAGTTCCCAGAGAAGCTCTCA